GTACCAATGCATTACAAGTTTTATGTGTTCCTTAAGTTGGTAGGAAGTTGCCAAGAGAAAAAATTATGTTGCTGTTTTTGTGAAATGAAACCCTGCATTTGCATCACTATGTTTAAGCAATGCACTGGGATTGAATTTCTAACTGTTGAAGGAGTTTCTTCTATGTTCATTGTAGGTTAGTTATGGTGAAGACTGAATTGATATGAGTTCTGTGTGCCAATAAGCCAAAAAATGGAAAGGTGATGAATCAGGAAATACTGATTTATGGAATCAAGAATGAAGTGGATGGTCAATGAAATCAACCAATCCGTTTCACAAGAAAAAGGTTGATGAACTAACTGATTAAAGATTTTCGGAGGCTCACTTACAGGGAAATTGCTGTCAAGTTTAGCATTTCACAGGAATGTGTGGGTTTGTTTATTTAATAGGCTGCTGAATTCCTAAACCTGAAGTTTCTGACCATAGTTTGTGTTATTTTTTTGGCATTTTGCTCTTCTGGTCACATGTATTATATATGCAGGTAGTCCTTGACTTACAACCTCAATGGAGCCCAAAATTTCTGTTGTTAAGTGAGACATTTGTTAAGTGAGTTTTGCCCCATTTTACGACCATTCTTGCCACTGGTTGTTAAGTGAATTTGGCTTCCCCATTAACCTTGCTTGTCAGAAGGACACAAAGGGTGATCACATGACCCCGGGACAGTTCAACCGTCATAAACCTGAATCAGTTGCCAAACAACTGAATTTTGATCACGTGACTACAGGGATACTGCAAAGGACGTAACTGTGGGAAAACAGTCATAAGTCACTTTTTTCAGTGCCGTTGTAACTTTGAATAGTCACTAAATGAACTGTTGTAAGTAGAGAACTTATACCTGTGTATAAAATGTAACTGACTGGAAGAGCAAAACGCCAAAAAGAACAGATCAGACTAAAATAACACAAGCCACAGTCACAAACTTCAATAATTTCCTGAATGACATAAATGTGGAAGCCACACAATAGCTGAGGGGGAGATCGTTCCAGAGGGCAGGAAGTACAAAGGGAGGGATACCTCCTCAGTTCCACCAGATGACTTCCTTTAACTGACGAGACCTGAATAGAGTGGGAAAGAAACCTAGAGATAAAAGGCACTTTGTATCCTAAATATTTTTAGTGGTGATAATCCCCGTGTTCAATTACACCAGAAAGCCAAAAGTGGCAACCGGTGCAACTTTGCAAAGCAGCAGGATGATACAATAGTCTGGTGCTCCCATCACCGCATAGCCCACACCTCCATCTACTGGACCAGCTACACTTTCCAAGGTTGCCCCATGTACAGGATCTTACAGTAATCCAATTGTGAGGGGACTGTCCAAAGTGCCTCCAGGTCCAGCAAGGGGCTCAAGTGGGACACTGGATGTACCTCTCAGCCACAGCTTCCATCTGCTGGAGCTGAGAGTCCAGGAAGAATACCAAATTGCACATAAGTCTTAAATGGGGAAGTTTAACCTCACTTACAGTCAACAATGGAGTACTTCCAGACTCAGGGACTGGGGTGCCAAGTAGATGTAATAGCCATTTCTCAGCCTTGAGTCTGAGACTATTCCTCCTCATCCAGAACTGCACAGCCTCCAAGCCCTGGGTTAGGACTCCAGCTACATCACTTGTCCAAGAGCTGGCTATCATCCTCACGTTGATGGCACTAGACCCAAAACTGGTGGACGACGCATCGCAGCAGATGTGGGGGGGGTGCATGCTAAATCAGAAGGGGAGAAACTCTGTGAAAGAAAAAGTTGAACCAGATAGGAAACAAATTGAGCTTTTGAACTTTAGCATTGGAGGAGACTCCTGAGAACGCAACGTATAGCAAGAAAAACAGACAAACAAACAGATCACCAAACGACCAAATCAATCCCGAGTTCTCACTTCAGGCAGAAATTACCTGGATCAAATTATCATTAAGTGAAGCTTTTTTGATAAGTCTATAATGTTGCAACAAGTGAAAAGAACAAGAGGTGGGTGGGTGGGTGGGTGGATAGATGGATGGATGATGGAGGGAGGGAGGGAGAGGGGGAGGGGGAAGGAGAGAAGGAAGGAGAGAAACTTTACAGCAGCTATTTCATCATTGGAAGCCATGAAGGAACAGATTGGGGAGCACTGTTCCCTCTAAGGTGCGCGGCTGCGCGGCCGCACACGTGGAAAGAAACCCCCATGCAGCAGTTTCTAACTGCCACACAGAGATTTCTGTAAAGTAAATGTGGGGAAGTCCTTTGCAGGCGGCTACAACTGGCCACCACTGTTCCCTCTAAGGTGCACAGCTGCATGGCCGCGCACGTGGAAAGAAACCCCTGCGCAGCAGTTTCTAACTGCCGCACAGAGATTTCTGTAAAGTAAACGTGGGGAAGTCCTTTGCAGGCGGCTACAACTGGCCACCTGCAAAGGACCTCCCCAGACTTGTTTTGAAGAGCACAGCTCTTCAAANTAAGTCCAAACGTTCTGCTGCTAAGCGAGTCACTTATTAAGTGAATGTTGCCCCGTTTTATGACCTTTCTTGTCATAGTTCTTAAGTGAATCACTGGAATTGTTAGGCTAGTAACAGGGCCGTTAAGTCTATCTGCCCTCCCCCTATTGACTTTCCTTGTCAGAAGGTCGCAAAAGGGGATCGCGTGACCCTGAGATACAGCAATGGTCCTAAATATGAGACAGTTGCCGAGCATTTGAATTTTGAGCATATGACCACGGGGATGCCGCAACGGTCATAAGTGTGAAAAATGGTCATAAGTGACTTTTTTCAGTGCCATTGTAACTTTGAACGGTCATTAAATGAATTGCTGTAAATCAAGGACTACTACATAAGACTACAGACTTGAGACTGTAATTCACATTCAACAATTCTCACTCATCTAGGGTGTGTGTTTTGCCAATCAAACCATATTCTCAATAGAGAATATTGCATCGCCATCTGCAGAGTCTTCGACTTACAACCATTTCTTTAGCAATCATTCAAAGTTACAACAGCAATAAAAAAGTGACTTAGAACTGGTCCTGGCACTTACAGCTGCCACAGCATCCCCATAGTCACCTGATCAAAATCTTAACAAGGGACATATACTTACATCTTGGTATCTGTGTAAGTGTGTGTCCCCAGATGGCCAGTTGTGATCTTCCCAGCCAGCAAAGTCCAACAAGCAAAATCAATAGGGGAAGCCAGATTCACTTAATGACGACATAATTCATTTAACAACTGTGGTGATTTGCTTAACAACTATAGCCAAAAAAAGTTGCAAAATTAGGTATGACTCAATGAACAACTATCTTGCCTAGAGATGGAAATCCCCGTTCCAGTTGCTGTTAAGTTGAAAACTGCCAGTTATTTATAGCAGGGATATTCACAGAGTTTGGTTCAAAACAATGCAGATAACGGCCACCACAGCCGAATCACAGCTCTGACGGGTTTTTATGTACATTGCATGTAAAAACTGGAAAATCTGCAGGACCCCTGAATGAACGCTTCAAGAGAGCGAACTCTGCTCTCAAAGTTACTAGCTTTCATGCAAGAGAAACACTGAATAGCTAACACTTTTTTCGCCAGACCTGAGAAAACCCTTTGCCCTCAGCCCTGACAAGTAAAACTGGCCCTTGTTTTCCTTCCCAACTGCCTCATCCTAGCAGTGAAGAGAAATTCACCATGCAAAAGAACTCGCGGTGCCTGTGTACGTTAGAGGTTTGAGCAGAGAGCCAATCTAATATAGCTGCATCCAATAAAGAAGTGTTTAAAATTTATGGAGTCTAGTAAAGCTGTAAGGACCCACCGGGTGGGCAGAGCAACCAGCAACATGGTGATTTATCTCACTCATTTTATTTAGCTACCCATTTCTAAAAGCAACAATGCTGCAAACTGAAAACTATATTGTAAAAAAAGGATGTCTTCACAACAAGATGATCAAGGGCCTGGAGACAAAAACATACGAAGAAGAGTTGTAGGAACTGGGTATGGCCAGTCTACAGAAAAGAAGGACTGGGAGGGAGGAGGGGGTGATAGCTGTATTCTAGTATTTCAGGGGCTGCCACAAAGAGGAGGGGGGCAACTTATTTTCCAAAGCACCAGAGGGCAGGACAAGAAGCAATGGATGGAAACTAATCAAGGAGAGAAGCAACCTGGAATTAAGGGAAAACTTCCTAATAACACAGTTGGTAAGGGAATCTGGTTTCTCCATTGTCTTTCGTGCTCAGAAGGTCGCAAAAAATATCACATAACTTTGGGACACCACAACTGTCATAAATATGGGTCAGTTGCCAAGCGTCTGAATTTTGATTACGTGACTGTGAGGCTGCAATGGTCATAAGTGTGGAAAATGATTAGAAGTCTTTTTTTTCAGTGCCTTGGTAAGTTCGAATGGTCACTAAATGAACTATTGTAAGCCGAGGACTACCTGGAATAACTTTGTTTCCTCTCTGATGGACTACCCTGGTCATCATCTGGCAGCATACTGCTGCTCAGTTATTAAAGTGTGTGATGTGTGAGGCCTTTACACAAGTGTTCCACAACTTGGGAGTGCTGGGAGTTGAAGTTCATACATCTTAAAGCTACCGAGGTTTTGATCAAAACGGCTCCGTAGTTGATCTGCTCCTTCACCTCTTCAGAATCTCTGAAACTGCCCTTGGCTTGTAGGATCCTAAGGAGCTTGGATTCCATCCAATTTTTGAGATTTTGGAGGGAGACCTTGTCCTCCTTGGCTACGAGACCCTCTTATTTAGACCCCGTCCTAAGCATTTTACAGCTCCTCACCCAATCTCCGGAGGGAGAACAGACTTCTCCAGTCTTCTGCTGTCCTGGATTGTTGTGGCATTTGTGCCTTTTTGATGTCATCTGAAGGCTTGTTAGTATTGATTTATTGGGGCTGGAACTGTTGTTTGCATGACCGATTTACAAAGAGTTCGTATTTATATTTAGGCACAAAAGCAGACACTGAAAATAGCTTTGAGCCAGTTATTACAAAGCACTGGAACCAAGCCTACCTCTACGATGTCATCATCAAAGAGTAACCAAAAGCCGTGGCTCTTCACAATGGTGATATAATGCCCACGATTTGGACCACTGCAACAAAGGAGAGAGGTAAGGTTAAAGCTGGATATGGGCACGTAGATACGAACTACGGTTCTCCTAGGACTTTTATCTCCCTTTGGCGTGAGTGGAAGTCGCATCGTTTGTGCTCCCATCTATTTCAGGGGAAGCTGTGGCTGATTTTTGTGATTCAGCTCTGAGGAATCCCTGATCTTAGCCGAGAGGGAAGAAAGGAAGGATGAGAACTGGAGAGAAAGTGTCTCTGCTTGATTAAAGGCACTAGCCACTCGCTTCGGACTTCTGATCCCAAAGCTTTTCCACAATCCCAAGAGGATGTCACCACTGAAAGGAAAAGCAACGAAAAGAGTCAGGTAGTCCTCAACTTGAGCCCAAAACGTATTTGTTAAGTGAGTTTTGTCCCTTTTTATGACCATTCTAGCCACAATTGTTAAGTGAATCTCTGCAGTTGTTAAGTTAGTCACATGGTCGGTAAGTGAATCTGGCTTCCCCATTGACTTTGTCAGGAGGTCGCAAAAGGGGATCATGTGACCTTGGGACACTGCGACTATCACAAATATGAACCAGTTGCCAAGTACCTGAATTTTGATCATGTGACCACAGGGGAATCGCAATAGCACTGAGACTTACTGTATTTTTCGGATTATAAGATGCACCGGAGTATAAGATGCACCAAGAGTTTGAAGAGGTAAATTAAAAAAAAAAATTTGCCCTCCCAAGCCCCCAGGAGCACACTACAGGCTTCCCAAATCCTCTGTACACCCCGTTTGTTTG